TCCAACGGCTGGCAAAGAGAGCGGCTGCTGAAGCTGATATCAAAACCCTAAATGGGTTTTAGGGTTTTTGTTAGGTTTAGGTCAGTTGGGTCCTTTGTAATTGGGCCGGTCCAGTATGATTTGGGCCTGTAATAATATTTATTAATAATAAAATAATAATAATAATAATTATTATTATAATTATAATAATTATAATAATAATAATAATAATATAAATAATATTCAAATGAAAAAAAAATGAGTATCTTCACATCTCTTACAAATGACCCTGTAAAACAATTTAGCTAAGCCATAGTTGAATTTTTTTTAGTTTCTACTGCTCTTTCTATTTAATCATAAGATATGAATTATGACTTCATTTCTCCCAATAATTTATTCAAAATCCTTATTTAGACTCTTGATTGAAAATACAAAACAATCAATATTAATAACCTATCAACTCAGAAAATTAATAAATATTAATCAACATGATTGAAAAACAGATACCATACAGATAAAAAAGTCATGATTAAACATTATATAAGTTTGCATATATATATATATAATTAAAATCAAAAAAATTAAGGAATTAAACTATTTCAATAGATAAGAGGATTGTTGTCATCTTTAAAGGTCACAAGTTCGAACATATAAATTGTAAAGGTGATTGAAGTTTCATTGTCAAATGAGTGAAAATATTTAGAACATATATTACCTTATAATCACCTTAGATTAATCAAAAGAATAAATATTCTTAAAACATATTAACATTTGCACGTAAACGAAGAGAAAAAAAAAACAAGGAAGACACCGAAACTTTTAGTTTTGTAAGGGATAAACTACACTAATGGTCACTAATGTTTGAGTAAGTTTTTGGTTGTCTCATTGAAGTTTCAAAAGTAACAAATTGATCACTAACATTATCGATTTGTAACAAAATGGTCACTCCATCGTTATCTTAATTAAATTGATGACGTGACAACATTAATTAAAATGTTAACATTCAGTTTTACACTTAAAATATTGTTAAAATCAAGTAAGTTATTTAACAATGATTTTATATCAAATTTACCCAAAAACTTTTTAATTTGAAAATAGAAGAGACTCTATCCACTCTTATCAGACAAAAACAACAACATATAACTAACGCCAATAATTATGAGCAAAAGTGAGGTAAGTTTATGATTGTTTCTTTACCAACAATTGAGTTCGCCATAGTTGTAGTTGTTATACCTAAAATCGAAGTGGATATTACATACAAAACTTGTCACACCCAAAATTATGACCTAAAATTTTCTTAGAAATTTTACGAGGACTAAATTGAAATTTTAATTAAATTCGAGAACCAAAGTGAAATTTTGATTAAATTTGGATTCAAATTCAGAAAGTATTAAAATTTGAGGACCTATAGTGTAATTACACAATTTTTTATAAGTATGGGTTTAAAACCCAAAATCAGAAACTTTGCATTTTTATAAAGTTTTAACCCTCTTTTTCTCTCTCTTTTCAACCCTTTTATTCTCTCTCTCTTTTCAACCCTCCTCTTATAGAATGAAACCTTTGATCGACGTTTCGTCACCGACCGTTGCTCCGTTTTCGACACCTCCCGCACCATCATGTTCTTTGCGTCATCCCGAGTCCATCGGTGTCCATCTTGTCTCCATTGCCACCAGCGTGTGAGGGGGTAAGAAAGGCCAAGTTTTCGAAATTTTGAAATCGAGCTCTCCGTCATTCACCGTTGTGAACCGATCTCGATAAGTCTCTCAAAACCCCTCAAAATGCAAGTAGGAATTTTTCGTAATTTTTCCAACTTCCGAAGCCTCCGCATGCGCCCCCACGTGCCGCCCCTGCGCGTGGGGAATTTCCACCACCTAGTGGGCTGCTTGATAACAGGTCGACCCGCCTACCCGATCCGACCTGATCTGAATTGAACCGATCAACCGTTGACCGTTAACTTTTGACTATTGATCGTTGACCGACCGTTGATCGTTGACCGATCATTAACCGTTGACCAACAGTTGACCAGCGATAATTTTTTTCAAAAACCTCTATCTTGATGTTTTTTTACGTCTTGAGTCCGATTCTGTGATTTGTTTTGCCAAATTCTAACCCGAAAGCCCCGAATCGAGCCTCTTAATCCAAAAATGGTTAGAATTTTTAGCATTTTTGCTTATTTATTTGAGATTTGATTAGAGAACTGATTCGAGAATATAGTTTTATGAACGTACTTGTATTTCAACAGACCAAGGGTCGGTTAGACCCGGTGCTTCCCATCCGTCAGATCCATATGATTCGCATTCCTTGAGAGTTACTCGTATGTATATGTAAATTGTTTAAATAGGTGTTATTATTATAATTATTACGATTATGATATGGATTTTTTTATTCGTAGGATCTAGCACTGCCGCTGATTGTGATTGACAGACTCAGTAGTATGCTTTCTTATTAGACTACTCAGACTTATCAGACTACTCAGACCGGTACAAGTGTGTTTCATGATGGTGTTACATAACTGTTTTAAACTGTTCATCTAAATTGTTTTAGATTTCTTATAATACTGAATATTTTTACAACGCGTACCTAATTTTCTTAATATTGTTTATCTGATATCTGATTTAATGTACATTTTTTTATATGATCTCTGAATTCTATTTTTTTGTATCTGATTTCGGAGTCTGGAATATTTTTCATGTTTTACTAAATTAAATGATCGTTTTCACTCAAATACATACATGTTTATTACTATCATTAGGGTTATTATTGGAGGAAGTATCTCAGGCCTAGTCTATGACTTGTAATTCCTTACCGCAAGCTCCTCAGCTTTGTGGTCAGGGTAAGTCATTACCGCATGTCCTTATGCTATATGTATAAGGCCTTATCGGGTATACATGTGGATGTATGGTTCTCGGGAACCCACACATTCTGGTGATCGGATGGGGTAGTGTTCATATTTTTAAAACATATTTGATAAACTGATTTTATTGAATTATTTTATATGTATATTTTTATACACCCTAAGAAGCACATTGGGTTTTTTAGCTCATTCTGTAAAATTTAACCTTTTCAGATAGTAGCAGACCGTAGGCTAGCAGACTTGTCATCTGGAGAACCGACTACTCCTATTTTTGTACCACTGTATATCTATATATGCCTTTTTTTGTTATACTTTGGTGACGCTTGTTTTTGCTACCATCTCGATATATCTGTATTACCAGTATTTGGATATATATATGTTTTATACGATTTTTCAGATATATGTATATATTGATATATAGATTTTTATCGTATGAATATTTCTAATGATTATTTTCATATTATATTGTTATATGGATTTTAATGTTGTTTTAAATATGAATACGATATGTAGCTGCCTAGATTTGGGCATAACGTCCAGGTTAGGTTTAGGGGGTTACAAAACTACTCCAAATGCAACTGCGCATAAAAATAATACAAAAATAAAGAACGATCGAAGCAGTGTCAAGAATTTAAATGTTCAATAGCATTTGGTTCCCTTATGTCTAACTATCTACAACAAAATCTCTTACTTTTGCTGAAATTAAAGAAATCTATAAAGCAAATCCACTGCAAATCAACATATTAAAATCAATTATGATAGTTAAGCATGGTAAAATTATGGTCCCAAAAACTAAAGAAAAGAAAAAAATTCTTAATTGTAAATAAAGCGTGTGTGTTTTAAATATGGGTATAAGCATATGCAAACTATATATATATGGGAGTTAGTTAGATTCAAAGAATACTTTTCTATATTACAGTGGTAGTTGTATTATTTTTCTCAGTGGCGAAATGGTGGAGGGATAAATGGGTTGTTTCTTTATCAACCGAAGCTTTTGAGTAAGATATCTGAAAATGAAATGAAGTTAGGTAACACAAAATCAGTAAAATGATGAAAACCAGGGATAAATGGGTTATTTAAGTGTCAGTTGAAGACTTGAAGCTTCTGCTACAAGGTTTTGGTCACTTGCTCCCTGATTCAGATGGTCAAGTTTGCTCAAGATATCAACTTCAACATGGAAATCAACTTCAACATGGAATTCACGTTATCCTTCAACTTCTTTGGATGGTGTCACCTCCATTTTCTTGATTGCAACAACCTTCAAAATAAAGAAAAAAAAGATTTGTTTATTTTCTATTACTGTTTGGTTCATTACCACCTATTGAAGCATAACTCATGCATGAAACAAATAAAGTTATTGCTACACAAACAATAGGAAAATATATAAATACCTCCCCTGATCATTGTTATTAGTGGACCAAGTTCAAAGATTCAAGTAAAAGCTAACCCATCATTTTCTGGTCATTCGTTAATAAGTTAATGTTCAAAGTAACATCGTCGATCCTGTATCTTTTATTAAAGTTTAAAAATTGGATAATCCTCAACTTACAATCGTTTGAACCTCTTCTTTTATCAAATTAAAAAATTTTGAAGGTAAATTTAATATAAAAACATTGTTCAATGACCCTATTTGATGTTTTAACCGTAGTTTAAGGGTAAAATTGGATATTAACTTTTTTAATTAATGCTACCACATCATCAATTTAATAGAGATAGTGGTGGAGTGATCATTTTGTTACAAATCGATAACGTTAGTGATCAAATTATTACATTTGAAACTTCAGTGAGTAAAATGAAAACTTATTCAAAAATAGTGGCCATAGGTGTAGTTAACCATTTTTTTAAAATTAAACGAGGCATTTTTACTAATATTAAGGAATAGAACTGTTAAAGGCTCGTCTTCATCATGATACTAATAAACTTTCACAATGTTTAATTGGCATTCCATTTGGTTAAACAAAATCATCGAAGATATTAATAAAAAAACCATTCGGCCATCAAAACATCCTGAAACAAGAAGGCTAACAGAAAGTTTATTTGGCTAGCTCCGGTGAATTTTTTTGAAATTAAAGTGGTAAAGGTTTAGCATATCAACATAAAAAACTTCACAGACTAATCATTTTGATTTAAGCCATGTCCTTGCATGAAAACGGCAGACAAAACAAACCAAATCCCATGGCATTAACTCACCAAAGAACAATAAAGAAAAGTCATAGTCCAATTTGTATTTTCATGTAGCTAACAGTTTACTCTCGGCACTCACTATATTCACCTTGTACTAGAAACGTTAAGAAGACAAAGAAACCTAAAGAGAAGATTCACTTGGTACCATTTCCAGGCGTTGAAATGGCAAGATCAGGCCAGGAAAAGCAATCCCCGCCAACAGAACCAGACTCTCCACCTTCAAACTGCCATATATTCCCCATTCCCATGGTAGCCCCAACATTGCCACGCCCACCAACAGCAGCAGCTCCATCTCCTACGCCCGGAAAAGGCAACATTCCTCTTCCAAGCCCAAATTCAACATCCTCGAGCGTTGGAGAAATACCATGTCCAAATCCACCAAGAGCTAGAAAACCAGGCCCCTGAGTATTCAACAATGAAGTAAAACTTCCAAAAATATTGCCCTTGGACTCTCCACCAATACCAATACTTCCCTGATTAGTATAGATTGGCAACAAAACGGGGGTGGTAGGTAATGGGAAGTTATGATGATTAGTGGTCGTGGTGGTGGTGGCATTGGTTGCGGAAAAAGCTGTGCCATGGGTGGTTGTGGTGCTGCTGATGCGTGAACGCTTAGCATTTTTCCTGGTACCACCGCCAATAGGGATGTCCCTAAGGGTGCCACCATGAGTCCAGTAACGGCGACAGGACTTACAGAAATAGCGAGGCTGAGAGAAGTTATAGTTGTTGTAGTAGCAAAACTTAGTGTTGGTGGAGTCACAGCGCGGACAAAGCAGTTGCTCTTGTTCCGGTGGTGGAGGGATGTCCCTAAGGGTGCCCCATGAGTCCAGTAACGGCGACAGGACTTACAGAAATAGCGAGGCTGAGAGAAGTTATAGTTGTTGTAGTAGCAAAACTTAGTGTTGGTGGAGTCACAGCGCGGACAAAGCAGTTGCTCTTGTTCCGGTGGTGGGGCTCCATGAGACTTGGTTAAACGCCTGTTTTGATCCCCGGAACTTGACGTCATTTTGAAACAAAACGAAAGTGGGTTAAGTTAGAGTATCTTCTTCAAGTGAACGCTTGTTGGTGTTTAAAGAGAGAGTAAAGAGGAGGTTTTATGGGGAGAGAAAGAGGAGAATAAAAGAATCTATTAGGACAGTGAAACAGGTCGTGAAGGTTAAACAAGAGACGAGTGAAAAAAAAACAGGATTTTTATGGTGTTTTGTAGGCACTAGATTATCATAAGTCGGATGCAGAATGAGCTCTGACGCTCTCTGTTGATGGTCGGCTCCATCAGCCAGCAATGCTGCATGCTGTTGCTCTGTTGTTTGCTGTTTAAGTTGCTTCTTTTTGGATTTTCTAGCTATTGGCCTTTGAGCCCCAAAAAGAAAAAGTTAATCATCAGATGTGGATAAGCAGTCAATTAAGGGTCCCATTGAGTGTAGTTTTCTGGTTTCTGTAATGATATCTTCCAATTCGGATGCATGTAAACAATAATGAAAGACGACAGCAAAGTTCAAAGAACATAAAACTTTTAATTCTGATCATGGCAGAACTAAATTCATAATGAAGTAGATTGTAAGAAAATTTACAAGTTTACTTTTGGACAGCCACATTCGAAGCAAATATTAACTGTCCATGATATTTCTAGTTAACAATTTTCTTCCTCCATGGCCATAAAGAAAACAGTCAAAACTTCATCAACAACCCTTTTCATTTCAACTTTCAAGAGTCAAGACTCCAATACATTGAGTGAAAAATGCGCCATTGCCATAATCCTAACAATGAATAGACTGAACCAAAAGTAGTATAGACAAGCATGCCGAAGTGTTCAGCTAATAATTCCAAATACCCGACAGTTTCTGGCTAAGCATTGGGAGCCAAAAGACTTGGAAACAAAGAAATAACTGAAGTGATGGTCAAAGAAGCAAGAGGATAGAGAAATTGATGGAGGATGACAAAATCATGAGTGTCGGGTTGCGTGGGGTTCAATTATTGGGTCTCCTCTCTGATATTTTCGACACGTCACGTCCGTATCAAGATTCCTGCTCCGTACCACACCTTCGGTTCTTCCCAAGCTTCATGCCGGATTTCTCGCTCTTTACTGTGGTTAATTTCTTCATTGCTTGTCCATCTTTTCACATGCTCACCGTTGAGTTGTTTCATGTTTATAGCTCCGGCAGGAATGGAGGGCAGCCATTGCAGGAAGAAATGCTCTCTCTTCAATGTTGGAAAATTGAACAGTTTCCTAGGTTCTGAACCCTATCCCTATGAAAAATCTTTGTTAATATTATAGTAGTAGTTTATGAAGCGCAAAACAACGTATCTTATGTTTTTGGCGTTTTGTTATAGGACAAATTATCATTAATATTTAAATAAATTTTAAAAGTTATATTATAGTCATTAAAGCTATTGATTTATAATGAAATAATCATTTTGTTCAAGAACATAGCTAAAATTAAACGTTGAAGAGTACAAAATTATTTTATATCAAAAGAATAAAAATTTATTAGAAATTTAAATTTAAAAATTAAAAGAGACAAATGTCTTATTAAACTAATATTTAAACTAAAAAATATCTAAAATGTCAATATACCAAATTTTTTAGAGGAACAATAATCCCTTTTTAATCATTTTAGCTTTTTACCTAAGTCTATCATTAATGCATGTTAAATTCATGATGTGATATAATAATAAAAAAATTAATTTTTAATATAATCTTTAAAATATTACTAAAACATCAGTTTAATCCTTCAACATACTTTAACAAAAAAAAATTGCAGATGTCGAAGATTTTGATTTATATTGTTTTTTCGTTAAGATAACACCTAAGTTTGTTTAAGGTAAAGATAAAATATTTAAGGCTGGTTTGGTATAAAAAATATTTTTATATTTTTATTTTATGAAAATAGTTTTTTATTTTTAAATTTTTAAAAATTAGAAAATTTGTTTGGTTAATAGAAATCAAATTTTAAACTTCAAAATAAAAATAGTGAAAATATATTTGATATCTAATTTTTTAAAATAGATATGAATGAATATTTATTAAATAATTGATAAGAAAATTTATAAGATAAAATTATTTTTAGTTTATAATCAGAATACAATGTTAATGCCTATTGGACATCAATTAAACTAAAAATGCACCCAAAAAAATATTGTTGTAAGAAAGAGCACACAAAAATATCATTAAAATAAAAATATATTTAGTGATATTTAAGACCCTCAAACTTTTAGAAAAAAATTGCATAGCCACTAAATCTTTTTTGCACTCAATGGGACCTTTAAGTTGAGAAAAATATCAGTATAACCATTTGACCAACGGAATCAAACATTAATCGCCACAATGCTTACATGATAATCTAAAATGATTATGTGACAGTTCACGATGTTGTTATGGTAATACATGATGGATCATGATGTAGTAGATGGACTTAATTGATTTTTCGACTAAGTTTGAGGGCTTGATTAATTTTTTAGAAAGTCTGAGGACTTATTTAATCTTTTAGAAAAATTTAAAAAACTATATAAATATAAATAATTATTAAGATATTCAATACCTTAAATATAAAAATATTATAAAATTAAATTATTAAAAAAATGTAGTTTAAGGATCATATTGAGTGTAAGAAAAGTTCAATGACCATATTGATTTTTTGTAAAAGTTTGAGGTTTCAAATACTATTAAGTCAAAAAAAATCTTAGAATAACTTTAATGAAAATACTATTAAGTTAAAAATCTAATTCCCATATATTCTTATTTTTCAAAATTTTCAGAATAACTTTAATGAAAATACTGAAAACACTTTTTTTATGTTTTCATATTTTCACTTATTTTTGTTATCATTTTTTGAAAATCATTTTCTAATTTTACAACCAAACACATTTTTTTAGAAAATAGTTTCCAAGAAAATGAAAATAATTTAGGATCGTTTGGTTTTATAAAATATTTTCTATTTTTATTTTATGTTTTTTTTAGAAAATAGTTTTCATTTTTATTTTTATTTTGAAAATTAGGAAACATGTTTGGTTAATATAAATGAAAACTTGAATTCAAAACTAAAATACTAAACACATATTTGGTATCTAATTTTTATAATATAAATAAATAAAATAGTTATTAAATAATTATATTAGATTATAATTATTAAAAATCATTACCTAAATTTGACATATGAGTTATACAAATATAAAACAATATAATTGATAAGAAATTCCATAACACACAATTTATTGTTTATAATAAGAATATAATGTTTATACATATTAGACATTAATAAAATTTTCAAAATATGCAAAAATATTGTTATAAGTAATAACATACTAAGGTATCATTAACATAAAAAAATATGTTTAGTGGTAACTTGGATCCTCAAATTTTTAGGAAAAATAATTAGTATAGACCCTAAACTTTTTTCATCAAATATGATTGTTAAACTTAGAAAAAAATATTGATGTGACAATTCACAATATTGTTGTGACAGTACTCGATGGATGATGATATGATAAATGTATTTAATTTATTATTTTAAAATTTTTAAGGACTTATTAATTTTTTTAAAAAAATTAAAAATTTGTTTAAATTAAAAATATAAAATATAAACAATTATTAAGATACTCAATAAAATAAATATAAAAATACTAAAAAAATTAAATTATTAAAAAATTAATTTAAGGATTACATTAGAACCATACTGACTTTTTTACAAAAATTTAAGGGTTTCAAATATCACTAAATCAAAAAATTATTGTTAGAATAATTTAAGTATGTGTAAGTTAAAAAGCTAGATATAATATTTCTTTATTTTTTGAATTTCCAAAAGTTTAAGGATTTCATTATTTTTTTGGCGGCTTGGCAGGTCGGCCCATACCCGATGTAACCTTTGTGTTTTGCGGAAAAAGGCTAATTTAGTTTTGCAGTCCTAAGTTTATTTGAAAATTGAATTTGATTTCCGATTATGTTAAATTATCTAAAATTCTTGTAATAACGCCTTTTAACTCTATTGTAATGCAATTTCGTCCTTACTTTTTTTGTTGTTTTAATTTATTGCTTTATGGTTATGGCTTTAATTTTAGTATTTATTCATTTCAATCCCATTATTTACTATTTTTATTCAACTTTGTCGTTTTTGTTTATTTTTGCTGGTTATATATAATTTCAACACTATAATTTATTTTATTAATTTAAGATAGTTCTCCTTAAGCTAAGTAATTGGATCATTTTTTTTAAATTTTGACTCAAAATTTTAAATTTTTTATTATTAAGACAATCTTTAACCATGTTGGTATTGATTATGGGTGACGTGGGGTGTTCATCATTCTTCATACGTAATTGACTCCAAATCCTTTCAAGTGAATTACTAGAAAGATATAGATCCGATAAAAAAATAATTTTTAGGTATTCAGCTCTTCCTAATCCAAAAAATTGGTGTCGACTCCGAAATGTTAAATATTTCACTTAAGTCGAGATTTGATTTGAGCTTTTGAAGGACGGTTTCAACAACTGTGATCCAATAACATAATTTCATACTTTGAAGATACCATTATCATATTGAAGTTGTTTAAGAGTTTACAGTTGTGTTTCAATAAATATTTTATTTATGTAAGAATTAAAGTTGTTATATATTGGCTCAACATCTCATTGGTAACTAAGTTGATTTTTCTTATAATTCTAGTGGTTGAAGATTAATTGTTAATTTAGTGTATTTAGATAAGAATTTTTACAAGATAAAAATTCTTGATGACCAAATTTGTTTCATATATAAATAGATAGTAGGTTTTAATCTTTAGAATCATGGGAGAAAAATATTTTAGAGATCTAAAACTTTTGCGATTGTCTTAACTTTTAGGGTTTATCTTGTAAATGCGAGTTTTGTATTGATTCTGAAAGAGTAATTTGGGATGAATTGCATTTTGAGATATATGAGCTATCATGTATTTGTACTCTTCATGATTTCTACGTTTATAATGAATCATTATTGCTCTTATTCGTTAAGGTAGACAAAATCAGATCACATTAAATCTGATCTCTTGTGTATGTCTTAATTAATGTTGCTTTCTCATTATTTATATTTTTCGTTTACAAATTCCTGACATTGACTTTAAATTAGATTTAAAATCATCTTATCCATTTCGGTTCAAACTCAATTCATGATTTTTTTTTTTATAAAAATTTAGACAAAAGTAAGTGTCTATAATGATTTTTGATACTTGAGAAAATATGCAGTACACAAAATTCAATAGACATGTCAATTAAGATAATATAATAAAGAAGTCAAGGTAGTGTATGACCTTACTAACCTCCACAAGAACGAAGATGGGATGAAAGTTCAAGACATGTGTATTATTGTAGCTGGGCAGTGGCTGTTCATGAGCTCTGGGGTGTCATTTCCTTGAGCGGTGTTTGGTTCGAGGTTTGAAATGTAAAACTTCTTGTGTTAATCGTTTTGTTAGCTACTGTATCAACATGGCCATGGTTCGAGGTATTGTATTTGGAACCATCTATTCAATACAAAACACCCTTTTTAAAAAGAAATGTTAACTTATCGATTTAAATTTTCAATATTGTGAGATTAGAATCTAATTTAATAAATTTTAAAGTTGTCAATGACTAAAAATGTATTTAAATAAAATATGGAGGTTACCCATAATTTATTTAGGATCAAATTAATACTGACCTTAAAAATATTTAATAAAAAAGGAGGAATGTAGACTTAATTTTCTTAGTTTTTAATTAAGAGGATTTAAAAATAATTAAATCTAAAAATTTGGGGTAAGGCCACTTTCACACTACATGCATGGTTAAATGTTGACGACGAGACTACCATGGTATATATTTAGGCTATACTACACTTGTGACCAACTAATTATTATCAAATTCTATTCTGATCACCTATGTTTTGATTTAACCAATCAAACCACTCAACTATTTAAATGTTTCAATCAAGCCACTATCCGTTAACTTTTAACGGGAAGGTGACATGCCAGTTAAAAATTTAATATAATTACATATTTGGTACTCAATATTTATATATTTTTATCAATTTGATCATAATTTAATTCAATTAAAATAAATTTAATCTTCAACTAAATGGTGACATATGTGACCACCCAATTAAAGAGA